GCCAACGCACGGACGCGCCCGGGCCCGGCGCTCACCTGGGCGCGCTCCCGCAGCGTGCCGCCCGCGGGCAGGAAAACACCGCTCTCCCGCGGCAGGGTGGCGGGGGTTGGGCAGGGCCGCAGGAAGGTGAAGTCGCTCCGCTCGGAGCCCGGGGAGAAGCAGGTGCTGTAGCGGGACGGGGAGTCGGTGGGTCGCAGCGTGACCTCCATGTACTTAAGGGTGCCGTCGGAGCTGAGCTGGAGCTTGGGGCTGGAGTGCTTGCAGAAGTCCCGGGAGGGCGACTCGCTGAGCCAGCAGCAGCAGTAGGGCGAGACGGCGGCACGGCCCTTGCGCCGGAGGCACCGGGCGGCCAGGAGGGTGACGGTGGCCAGTGCCACCGTGCTGACGGCTGCCAGCGCGATGATCAGGTAGAAGGTCAGGTCCGGCTTGTCCTTGGCRCCAGCCAGGAAATCCTGAGGCTTGAAGCTCTCCTCCAGGGCTGCCTCCTCCAGGGCCACAGTGATGGTGGCAGTGGTGGAGAGCGGTGGCTCACCGTTGTCCGTCACCTGGACAACGAGCTGCTGCACTGCCATRTCGCTGTCCTGGAAGGCACGCGCTGTCCGCACCTCCCCGGTGTACAGCGACACGTGGAACAAGGAGGGGTCAGTGGACTGCGGCAACAGCCGRTAAGAGAGCCAGGCGTTGTGCCCAGCATCCGCATCCACTGCTGTCACCTTGGCCACCAGGTAGCCCGGTGGGGCAGACAGCGGGACCCTCTGGGGTGCCAGCACATCGCTGTCACTGGCAGGGTGCAGGATGGTGGGGGGATGGTCATTCTGGTCCAGCACAAAGATGTAGACGGTAACATTGGCATAGAGAGGGGGGGACCCCGAGTCCCGCACGACCACGGAGACCGGCAGAACCTGCAGCAGCTCGAAGTCGAAGGTGCGCTGAGCATAGAGATTGCCATTGTCAGGGTTGATGTGGACGAAGGAAGAGATGGGGGCATCCTGCACTTGGCCACTCTCTATGGTGTAAACAAGCCGGGAATTATCCCYGTCGTCGGGATCTGAGGCAGAGACGGTGCACAGCAGGGAGCCAGGCGGGTTGTTCTCCTGGAGAAAGGCATCGTAGGAGGGCTGCGAGAAGCGTGGGGGGTTGTCATTCACATCAGATATATTGAGGAGCAGTGTGAGTGTGGTGGTGAGGGCAGGAGAACCGCCATCCTGGGCGATCAGCTCCACTGCATACTGTGAGGTAGAYTCTCGGTCCAGGCTCTTCTGGGTGACCAGGGAGAAGTGGTTCTGAAGGGACCTGATGGCAAAAGGCACATCGGGGGAGATCTCCAAGCTCACTTCCCCGTTGGCCCCCGAGTCCCGGTCCCGTACRTTGAAGAGCCCCACAACAGTCTCCGGGGGGGTGTCTTCTGGCACCGGATTCAACAGGGAGGTGAGCAGCACCTCCGGGGGGTTGTCATTGGCATCCTCCACTTGCACCTGCAGTACACAATTGCCCTCCATCTCTGGGACCCCGCCATCGTGAGCTCGCAGATAGATCTCATAGAAACGTGATTCCTCAAAGTCCAGGGCCCCACTCACCCGGACCTCACCAGTGTGGGGATCCAGGGTAAAGAGCCTCCGTACCGAGTCGGAGGTGTGAACCCCGAAGGAGTACTGTGTCTCCCCATTGGGACCCTCGTCRGGGTCAGACGCATTGACCCGGAGGAGCACAGCCCCCACAGGGGTGTTTTCCGGGACTTTCACCTTGTATGTGGTGCGGTCAAAGATGGGCGCGTTGTCATTGACATCCAGGACCTGGACCGTTATCTCTGCTGTGCCCGAGCGGGCTGGGCTTCCCCCATCCACGGCCGTCAGCACCAGCTGCAGTTCTGGCTGCTCTTCCCGGTCCAGGGCACGCTCCAGCACGAGCTCCGGGAAGAGTTTGCCATCCGGCTGCTGCTTGACGTCCAGGGAGAAGTGGGAGTTGGGGCTCAGCCGGTAGGAGCTCACAGCATTAGTGCCCACATCGGGGTCCTGCGCGCTCTCCAGGGGGAAGCGCGCGGCCACCGTGGCAGACTCGGCGATGCGCAGGGTGCGGTGAGCAGTGGGGAAGCTCGGGGAGTTGTCATTCAGATCCAGGATCTCCACTTCCAGGCGGAAGAGCTGCAGGGGGTTCTCTGCCACCACCTGCACCGACAGCACGCAGCTGGCAGCTGCTCCGCACAGACGCTCGCGGTCCAGCCGCTGGCTCACCACCAGCGTGCCGCTGTCCAGGCGCACGGCGAAGTAGCGCAAGCTCTCCTCCGAGCCCAGGCGCAGCCTGCGACCTGGCAGCTCCTCCACCTTCAAGCCCAGGTCCCGGGCCACGTTCCCCACCACGGTTCCCAACTCTGACTCCTCAACCACCGAGTAGTGGATCTGCCCGGAGACCCAGCCCCAGCCGCAGAGCAAAAACAAACTCAGTACTTGCCATTTCCAGGCGGGTCGCTGGAGGCTGACACTCTCCATGTCCGTGCGCATCCGGCCCGGGACACAGCAGGTACTGAGGAACTGCGAATAAATCCCTGAGTCTCTCTTGCACGGCTTAGAAAACAGCTCCGGGGCTCCGGCAGGCTGCAGCTCCAACTGTCAGCCTCCAAGCAGAGGGGGTGGGCTGGGGGAGGGGAACTGAATCACAGCCCCAGCGCGGAGGTGGGAGGGGGGAGAGAAGCAGATTTCCCCCCCTCTCTTCAGATCAGCGCCCAATTGGCCGAGAGCTCCATCCCCTCTCGGCCAGCAGTGGCTCCGGAGGTGCGGGAAGCAGGGGCCTGAGCCGGCAACAGCGGGGCTGCCACCCCCGGCCTCCCCTCTGCCAGCCTGACTCACTTGCTCCGACAGCTCGCTTTGCGTTCACAGGGAAACTGCACGTCCTGGCAGCCTGGAAGCTTAGGTACAAGCCCTCCCTGTGTGCTCCCCCTTCCACAATGGTGGCTTCACATCGTGCCCACAGACAAAGGGCAGCTGTCATGAGCGCAGGCCAAAGGACTTTTCATGCCCGATGAAAAGGTGCTTGTTAGAGCCCCGAGGTGCCAGGGGCTCTTCTCTCACCCCTCTTCTCCCCCTCTGCTACTGCTTTGGCCGCTGCTTGCACCCCATGATTGCCTCTCTGAGTGAGGAATTGCTGCCACCAGTACCACCACCAGCCAGGAGACCTCGCACTGGGACAGGGATGCCCACTCCGGGCAGCCCACCCGTGGGAGTGGGAGGCTGGAGGTGGGAAAGCAAAGGCAGGTGAGCCATTCAAAGCTGCAATAAATTGCTCCCAATGCACACCTGACTGGAAGCCACTTCCTTGCCCTRGGGCAAGGAAGGGGTCAGTCTTCACAGTGCCCAAATCACGCTGTGCAAACACACAGAGCCACACAATAAGGCCACTAGATCACCCCTGGATTACAACACCAGGTCAGGATGTCAGACTGGGAAAGCCTGAGCCTCCCACCTGGCAGACACACAAACTGATATTCTGTGGCAGACACAGCTTTGCAGTCAGTCTCCTGAGGGCAAAAGCAGGGGTCTCAGCCTCCCCAGGCAGGAGCAAGCAGTAATTTCCTGCTCTCCCTGTCCCAGATGATGCTGGCAAGCTGCAGGGAGTTARCTCAGTTCACATCCCTGCAGAAGCCTTGTGCAGTCATAGAATCATAGAATTATCTGGGTTAGAAGGAACCTTAGAGATCATCTCATTCTGACCTCTTGCTGTGGGCAGGGACACCTTTCACTAGACCAGATTGCTCAGAGCTCAATGCAGCCTGGCCTTGAACACTTCCAGATATGGGGCAATCACAGTTGCCCTGGGCAACCTGTGCCAGAGCCTCACCTCCCTCACAGGGAAGAATTTTTATACCTATTATGTAATCTAAACCTTCTCTCTGTCAKTTTGAAACCATTCCCTCAGTCCTGTCACGACATGCTTTTATAAATAGTCCCTCTCCATCTTCTGTCCTTGGTGCACTGAGGGCCACCCTGCCCCTCCCTCGGGTGCACACAGACCCCGAGGGGTTTCGGTCTGTTGTGGTGTGACGGAGAGGGGACCCTGCTCCTGCCCGGGATCCTGCCTGTCCCCACCACCTGGGTACCAAAGGGACCTGGGGAATAGGACAGAGCGGCTGAGGACACCCATGCCCGGCACGGTGGACGGCGACAGGGACACCCTCCCTCTGGCGAGGACGGAGATGCTGAAGGTGCTGCAGCCCAGGGTCCTCCCTCTCCCGTCTGCAGCACCTCTCTGCCCATTCTAAGAGCCGCGAGGCGGGACCACCCTGCTGCCAATCAGGGASAGACACAGCAAAGAACCTCATGAATGGTAAAAACACTGCCCGGGTCCCACCTCCTGCCGGCTCCGGGGAACGGAGAAAGCATTCTTAAAGAGACAATGCACAAAAACACTAGACAAGGGATTCCCCAGCACACAGAGACCAATTCCTGCTTGCACACACTCATTCCCCCAGGGCTTCTGACGGTGCCACCCGCAGTGAGCCGTCACAGTAACCTTGAGGGAATGTGCCCCGTCCCATCCCAGGCAGGGCCCTGGGCAGTACAGCTGGGTGACAGGCCTTTCTGCTGGAAATTCAGGGTGCTGAACCCCTGGGAATGGGTTGGGTGCTGCTGCAGTGCCTCAGCAGAAGCTCCCTGCAAAGCCCACACAGTCTGGGACAATCCACGCAGTGTCCCGAGATGGCTCGGACACCAAGGAGCAGGAGCAAGGGCTTTACACGGGGGATCCTGCTGCTGCTTGGGTCCRTCACAGCCTGTGATGTCCCCGTGTGACAAAGCAGGAAGGGTGTGGGGTGTCTAGGATGGAGAAGGAGACATTCCCCATTCCACAGGGTCAACGCTCACCTCGTGGAAAGGCACCAAGCCAGACAACCCAGGGATCACTGGAGATCCTGCAGGGTAGGATCCCTCATGGCAGGACATGCCACCTGCTACAGACACTGCCAACARCTTTCCAGGGCATCCGTTTTGGGCACTGGCTGTGCCCTGCAGAGCAAAGAGGTGTAAAGCCTTTGCAGGCTTGACCCGGTCCACTGTCACCACAAATACTGAAAATCCGGGGCCCAATGCCAGCCCAGATGACTTCTCACTGCCAGTGCTTTTCCAGTGCAGTACTGGGGAGTAGGGGGGAATCATGGCTAGGGCTCAGGCTTACTGCCCTCCTTCCTTCTCCATTCTCATATAATTTACTGCCCTCACCCCCAGAGGCATCTTGTCAGGACATTTTGGTGGAGGGGACATCCTTGTCCCCAGCCATAGCACAGCCCACACAATGCAGAGGAACACTTGCTCCTGCAGCTGCTGCAGCCATTCTCACCTGCCACAAATCAGAAGTGCTGAGTCTGAGAAGTGACGCAAGCAGGGGGAAAAAAAAGGCATAAAATAATTCTGAGAGGTTTCTGCCTCCGCCTGCGATTTGGCCACACTGAGCAGGCGGCACACGCAGCCTCACACCCATGAACAGCTTCCGCTGCACCTCACTTCCTTCTGCTCTGAGGAACCGGTAGCTCCTACTCACTGCCTCCCAGGAAGGACAAATTACCAGCACCAATGACCTTGGAAATCCACCAGATCCACACCCCCTTCCACTGGATCCACTACCTGACCTCACCTATGAAGAYTGAAGCATTCCTGTAATTGAAAGCTTTCAAATTAAGCTGCACAATTCCTATCGAGGAAGAAGCACAGGAGATGCTGCCATGCGCAAATGCCTTCCTGCCTGCAGTTTGTTCAGTCAGGACATCAGACATCACCCAGAGACAGCATATTAAAAATCATGCAGAACTTGTAATAGGATTTTTGAAAAACRTCTCAGTGGAGAACTCAGCACCCTGCTCAGAGCCAAAGTCCAGCTCAGCAGAGCCCTGCAAGCAACTGAGGCAGTCTGCAATCCCACCCCCTCCCCCAGAGCGAACATCATCACAGAACCTCCACAGAAACAAAACCGGAACCATTCAGGAGTCAAACATGAAGAGCGGCACAGATGGGAAGGACAGCTCTGTGACCACAGTCTGTCAAACAGCGGAACCAGCATCATCCTTCAGCTCTGCATGCTACACGGTGAGAGGTGACACGCCCAGCTCCCAGCCCCATCTGCACCACCACCTCTTCAGCCCCCACCAAGTCACGACGCACAGAGATTTTGTTTCCCTGCAGTGCGAGTGCTCCCCTCGGCTCTCCTTTTGCAATGGGAAGGAAATACCATTAACAACAAACTTTGTGCCAAGGATTAACAAGTGGTTTCAAGCTGACCTCAGCCTCCACCGGTTACTCATGCAAGGCGTACCCAAAAGTGCATCCAAAAGACGTACGTTTGCCAGCGTGAGCAGACTGACTCACTTGATCCTGCTCACCACAGTGCAAGTGTCAGCAGCCCTCAGGACAGCTCATTTGACTCCAAAGAACACCTGTTCAGCTGCAGCTGAACTCTTTAGGGGCATGGCGCTACTGGATATCCCTCCCAGCCCCAACACATGACCGCACGCGTACGGCACAAATGAACCGTGGCTCTGCCCAGTGCCAGGACATGCCAAGGAAGGAGCTACATTACCTCAGCAGGTGTGGTGAGCCGGCTGGTGGTGCCCACAATCTGGTGGTACAGCCCTGGCTCACCATTCCTTATGGTGCCCTGGCGGCTCCCCAAGGGGCTGGARGTGAAAGGCTTTTTACACAGGAGATCACTCTGGCGAGAGTCCGTGGTGAGATAGACCTGGTGGTAGAAGTTGGGGGGTGTGAAGCCACCCCGCACGGCATCAATGTGGTGGAAGGGGCCTGGTGTCCTGTATGTGGTACTCCTGGAGCTGTTGTACAGCTCCTTTGACTGCCTCCACTTGTAGCACTTGAAGATACCCACGGAYAACATGGTGATGAAGAAGGCTGCTGACACCAAAATCACAGCCAGGATGAGATAGAAAGTCACATGTCTCCTGGGATCATTGGCAGGTGCCACATCAGTGAGGTCAGTGAGCACCTCCTTGACCATCTCGGCCACAGAGATGGAAACAGTGGCACTGGTGGACAGCACAGGCTCCCCATGGTCTTTCAGCAGGATGACTAAGGTGTGCTCGGGAGCATCATCCTCGCGGAGCTGGCGGGCCGTGAAGATCTCCCCATTGTGCAGCCCAACTGAGAAGAGGCTGGGGTCAGTGGCTTGCAAGAGGGTGTAGGAGATCCAGGCATTGTACCCTGCATCCGCATCCACCGCCACCACCTTGGTGACCATGTGGCCGGCAGGAGTGCCCGGTGCCACCACATCAGTGTAGGTGGCGTTGGTGTTGGGGTGAGGGTACAGCACCATTGGGGCATTGTCATTGAGGTCAGTGACAAACACACTGACTGAGACATTAGTGGCCAGAGGTGGAAAGCCACCATCCTGGACCTGCACCATCATGGTGAACTCCACCCGGTCCTCATGGTCCAGGGAGGTGAGCAGGTAGAGGGTGCCATTCTCCCGGTTGATGGAGAAGAGGTGGCCAAAAGTGGGGTCACCCTGCAAAAGGGTATAGGAGAGGTGGGCGTTGCGCCCGAGGTCTGGATCTGTGGCGCTCACATTAAGGATGGGAATGCCGGGTATATTGTTCTCCTGAACATAGACATCATACGAGTCCTGGGACGACTTGGGCGCGTTGTCATTGACATCTGACACCTGCACCAGGATGTGTTTTACTGCAGACAAGGGTGGTGAGCCCGAGTCCCTGGCTGTGATCGTGATGTTATACTCTGCTGCCTTTTCCCGGTCCAGAGGTCCTTCTGTTTTCAGTGTGTAGTAATTTTTGAGGGAGGAGCTGAGCATGAACGGGATCCCAGGGGAAATAAAACAGTTCACCTGGCCGTTGTCGTGGGAGTCCGAGTCTGTGACACTCAGCAGAGCTACGACCGTCCCCGGGGCTGCATCTTCAGGCACAGGGCTGTACACAGAAGTCACTGTCACCTCTGGAGCATTGTCATTCACATCCACGACTTCCACCAGCACTTTGCAATGAGCCACTCCAGGAACGGCTCCCTTGTCTTTAGCCTGTAAGTAAATCTCGTACAACTTTGTTTCCTCATAGTCCAGCTGTCCCTTGACCCTCAGCTCCCCTGTGGCTGAGTCCAGAGCAAAGAGTTCTCGTACCTTGGCGGGGGTGTGGCTGCTGAAGGARTAGACGATGTCTCCATTGGGCCCATCATCCAGATCGTAGGCACTGATCCTGGCGACCAGGGTACCGCTGGGCGTGTTCTCCCTCACACTCGCTTTATAGGTGGACTGGTTGAAGACCGGGGCATTATCGTTRGCATCTACAACATCAATGTGGATCTGCACATGGGCTGACCGTGGCGGGCTGCCTCCATCCAGCGCAGTCAAGACCAAATTCAGCTCCCTTTGCTCCTCCCTGTCCAGCTCCTTCTCGAGCACCAGTTCCGCGTACTTGCTGCCATCCACCCTCGTCTTCACGTCGAGCGCAAAGTTCGGGTTGGCGCTGAGCTGGTAGGTCTGCAAAGAGTTAACTCCCACATCGGAGTCTTGCGCGCTCTCTAGCGGGAAGCGCGCTCCGGCAGCCACCGACTCACTGATTTCCAGCCTCGCCTGGCTGCTGGGAAAAACCGGGTCGTTGTCATTGATGTCCTGGATCTCTACGGTGCCGCTGTACAGCTCGAGCGGGTTTTCCACCACGATCTCAAAGCTGAGGGAGCAGGGAGAGAGCGCGCCGCAGAGCTCCTCCCGGTCTATCCTCTCGTTCACCAGCAGCGCCCCGCTCGTCAGATCCACCCCGAAGTACTTCTTGTTGCCGCCGGACACCACCCGCAATCGGCGTCCCGGCAGCCGCCCGAGGTCCAGCTCCAGGTCGGCTACCACATTCCCCACCGTGGAGCCTCTCCGCGCCTCCTCGGGAATCGCATAGCGAATCGCGGCGGAAACCCAGTCGGAAAGGCTGAACAAAAGCAAGAGTCTCAGTACCTGCCCCGTCGTCACCCCGCGGCTCCTTACAGCAACGCCGTTCATCGCACAGGACGGCCGCGCTCTCCGCTTCGCCCCCCCGCCCCGGCTAGAAACTCTCAGCTCGCCCCGTCATGCCGCTGCCCAGCGGCCCCGGGAAGCGGCGGCGGCGGCGGGGAGCCGGGCATTGCTCGGCGGGCTCGGCGGTGACTCACTCCCAGAGTCTCTCTGAGACTGTCTGCGCCTCATCCCGGCTCCGAGCGGGGCCGGGCCGCCAGTTCCCCCCGCTCCATCATTGGCCGACAGCGGCACACACAGTCCCGTCCAATAACTGCACAGAGCGCAGGGCGCGGAGCCCCGCCGCCGCCGAGCCCCGCCGGAGGGAGAGCGGCGACCTCGGCCCGAGGACAGCGGGGCTCGGAGCGGGCACAACCCGAAARGAGAGCACAGCCCTGCGAGGAGAGAAGCCCCGCTAAAAGAACAGCCGGGCGGGGAGAGCGATGGCAGAGTCAGGGTAGATCGGGCACGGCGATTGCTTGTGCGGGAAGGAAGGTGTAAAAGTTGACAGAGATAGTGACGCCAAAAGGGGTGATACGGAGCCGTAGGGTGTTTGGGGCGGGGGKTGTGTCCCGGTGTGTCTCGTTGGATGGGACAGCGAGAGTAAGAAGAGGAGGTAGAGCGGGCGGGAGGATGAGTGGGGAGGGTCGTCCACGGTAAAGAGGGTGCTGGGGAGAGCCAGCACCGGCACTACGCGCCAGCGCCCAGTATCTCTCAGGACCTTCAGGGTGCCGGTCCTCCCACCCAAATCCTTGGCCAGCCCCTTCCTGGAGGGAAGCTCCTTCCAAAGCGTCGCGACGCCGCCGCTCAGTGTGCCACCAAAGCAGCGTCGCCGGCAAAGCGACACTGATTTCGTGCTGCCGRGTTAGGAGCAGCTCCTCCGGCCGCAGCAGAATCTCGCCGCGAGGCGGCTCCCGCCGCAGGATTTCCAGGAGCACCTCCCCTCCTACGGGATCGCCACTGCCGCGGCTGTACCAGCAGACACCTTCCCCGACAGATCGCAGAAATATTTGATTTGATACGGCCTCCTACTCTAGCTGTCTCCCARCTTGCTCCCCGGTACTTTTTTCCCCCAGCCAGCGGCAGGGAAATCACGCTCTGCTGCATGYAGGTTCACTGGGGTGGGAGCAGATCCCGTTCCAGCGCAGCAACAGCCTGGCAGGTCACGGCACCGGCAATRCCGGGTCGAAAATCAGACATTTCCTGCTTTTGGGGTTGTTGCTGTCATCAGCAACTCGTATTAMGTGGGGTTTTCCGACTTTTCACGAACGCGTACGGATAAAATGACCAAAATTTTGGCGTTCATAGTCTGTCACCCGCAGAACTGCCCGGCTGTCACAAGGTAACGGAAAGGGGACGAGGAAGCTTGATAAGGGAGCGCCAGGAACCCTATGAAAACCCGGCTGTGACAGTGTCCAGGTGTCATCTCCCTGCCGAGATGATAAGGAAGGGACARTGATGTCCGGCAAAAACCGAAATCAGCACCCACGCGTTCATTCACTTAGGGAGCTCGTTGTGTAGGGCTGCAAACCACCCGCACCAGCGCTGGACAGCCGCACTTGCCAGAGGGAGAGGAATCGCGCCTCTGTCTGCGTGTCCTCGTCCCGCAAAATCCTAACGCGGCCGCGAGCACATGCGATCCACCCAGAGACGCTGGCGCTTACATGAAGAGTCAACAATATCAAACGCGTCGGCACATATCCTATTTATATGCTCACCTATTTTTTTCCTGATTAAACRTTGCCAAAAGATAATCTTTATCAGCGTTATTTATCATTCTTATCACCAGTCCACAAAATGTGATAAAAGTATAGGGTTTACACAGATAAAATCCAATGTTATTCATCTAACGTTCCCAAAGCACTTTTCTCGTAGAAAACCAAATCACAATTATCTTTCCTTCTTTCTTACATATAACCTAAACCCAAGACAATCCCCAGCTCTCCTCAACACAAATCTTTGAATAATCTTCAGCGAMTATTTTCTCTGAAATAAACTCTGAATCGTTTTTCCAACTACTGCCTATTTCGTGTTTTTCCTAAACGCGTTTTACCAAACAATTTCTCTAACGTGGAGACCACAAATTACAGAAGTAATTTCCCTTTCTYTGAGTGCACACACCACCCGTATCARAGTACCTTGTTCTTTTAATCCCAGCAGTAGTGCGATTGCCAAGTAGTGGAGAGATGAAAACAGAGAAGAGAGCTCAGGAAAGGCATGGAAGACTGAACATTTCCATCTACCGTATTCCAATTAATCTGGAGACATTGCATCTCCTCCACCTTGATGGGAAGCCTGAATATTGTAGGCGACACTWCAGAGCCCGTGAAAGCGCCGTTTGGAGTGAGAGGACTGGAAGAAAGGGGAAAGATGCCTTCCCCTGTACCATGAATTYCTCCGGGGACGGGTTCAAGCCAAATCCCAGCCTGAGCTGCTAACTTCAGCGTTTTTCCCGACTTTGCCGGAGCTCCAGAGAAGCCGGTGGCAGCAGGGAACAAAAAGCCACTCTGCTCGATTCCAGGCTTGGAGCTACATTGAAGCACCAGCACTGCCTCTACAGAGGGAGGGGGGAGTTAAGTTACGGGTGTACAAAATAGCTTCTGTTTAAACGGTTCAGAGTACTCAGAAACCGAACTTGACAGAAAAGGAGAGAACTAMAAGGTTGCTGACCGCATTGAGTAAACACACCAGGGTAGATCACACATGAAAAGCCCTCAGATGTGGCTGAGACAATTAATGGTCACTAGACCTAGGCCAAAGGGTTGTCGCAGTTCAGGTTCCACGACACTTTTGTTCCCTCTCCACCCCAAGTCCACCTCGACATTCCCGTTGGGTGAAACTCGCACCTGTCTTTCTCCAGGACAGACTGAAGTACAGACATTGTGCCGCTCCTTGGGGAAAATTGCAATTCGCCGACAGGATTGGGCAGAGGATGAGTCAAGATGTCACAAACACGCCCACTTACACCCCCACGCCCCTGAGATATTGAACAGTGCGCCGGGAAGTTCAGATCTGCCGGTGGATCAYTGATCACCGACAGCAGAACAGAGGCAAAATGATTCACACAAACCCAGAGGGAGGGACCGTGGGACAGAGCTCACCTGTGCCGAGCTCCCGGGGCTGGAAGAGTSCTTCCCGGAATGAGTGCCTGAGCCGGGATCGCCGGAAAGCATTCGGGCAGGCAAGGCTGCCGTCCCTGGTCTCAGGAACGTGAAGTCCTTCTGCCCCGGCTCTGAGGCTAAACACACCTCATAGGAATAGGGCAAGGGCAGCGTGCTGCTGCAGTAGTTGTAYGGTGCTTTTGAGCCCAGGGTGGAATACAGTTCCTTATCAGAAGTTATAAAAATGGGAGGACTCCTTGACCGGCGCCACTTAAAGAAAAAAACAAAAATGGCCGTGGAAACGAATAACAAGGACACGATGCAGAGGGACACAACAAGAATGAGGTTCAGATCAGACGTCAGCTCGGACGCAGGGTCTCTGTTGCTCAGCTCCGGCAGCGCCTCCTGCAAGCTCTCGGCCAGCACCACGTGCAGCGTGGCCGTGGCCGACAGCGCCGGCTGCCCGTGGTCCTTGACCACGGSCACCAGGCGCTGCTTGGCCGCGTCCCTCTCGGACACGGCGCGCGCCGTGCGCACCTCGCCGCTGTGCAGCCCCACGCGGAACAGCGCCGGCTCCGTCGCCTGCACCAGCTCGTACGACAGCCACGCGTTGCGCCCCGCGTCCGCGTCCACCGCCACCACCTTGGCCACCAGGTAGCCGGCCTCGGCAGAACGCGGAACCACCTCGAACGGCGCCGGAGC